AGCAGCACTTCTATAGCTACTGACATAACCTGTAGGATGTTCCAATGTAAACAAGGCCTCTGAAGCACAGCCTTGATGCCATTTTTGCAGGCTGAACTCTGCTGGTATGAACACTACACTCTTCCACAGAAACATGAAGGAGAAATGAGTCATGATGAGACAGTACTTCATCCCAACAAGAGGTGGCCAAATCCCAACTCTGCCAATATACAGTGGTAGGATGGATTAACAAAAAGGTTTTCTGTGAATAAATGCCATTCTGCCCATCCATTCACGGGTAACTATGGGGAGAGAAATTATTTAAGTCGTTGCAGATGAGGGGCAACAACCTTGCCCTCTGCCCCCATCCACCTGTGCTTTAGAGGAACCCACTGTGGCATAAGGAACTTTCAGACTGGGATTTTATTGACTTAATTTTTTGCATCCTTACGCTGTGGCCAGGTTGTCTTAAAAACCACAAGCATATGCATTCTTGTTTTCTAAGACTTGCTAAGTATAAAGGAAATAGCTTGATTAAAATCCTTCATGATACTACACATGGGTAAATTCCTATTCCTTACCGTCAGGCAGGGCATTCCTAAAAAAGTTCTCAGGCGCTAAAGATCTCAAGAGAAAGATTCATAACCCTCCACTCAAGCCACTTTAAGCGCCCCCAAGGACCACCTTTCCCAACTCTAAAATAAATTTATACCATGCCCAAATAGACAAGCATTCCAGGTGCATTAGTCTGCAGTCCAAAACCTTTCAAATTCTCAGGCGAAAAAAAAAAAAGCCATCTGTCATGTGTAGCAGCAATCCCACCCAGCTGCTCTGCATCACTGCTCATCAGTCTCTTCCAGCAGTTTCTACAGAGGTCGGTCTCATTATCTGCATGGACAAATGGGAAAGCTGAAGCAGAGAGCACACAAGCAGTTTGTCTGCAGTCACCCTGCAGAGCCATAGCAAAACCAGAAACAGATCGCAAATCTCCAACTGCTAGTCCATTTGTTTACATTATCGGTTACACCTAAGTAAAAGGTAACGGTTTTCATAATAAAATGGAAACGATATCGACGCTCAAGGTCTCGTTCTGCTCATGCTTCTCCCCACCTCTCATACATACTACTGCATAAAAGCATCCTGCCAGACTTTGTGCCGCTAACCCAGCAAGTGAGAGCGGACCAATCCTAGTTTAAAAGGAAATGCGATTTGGGCAGAAATAGAAGCTACCATCAATCACAGGTCTCCCACAGAGTAATCAACCTATGTGTACAAGCATGCATGGGCTTATATTAGGAGAGAGAGAGGGAACTTAGAAAACCATGCTCAGACACTTCTCTCAGGTAGGAGGATGGCAAAACGCCAGCCAATAAGATGAGCAGCTTTTAACCAGATACGGCATACTAGACAGTAAGTTTCTGAGGATATCTCTGCTTGACAGCTCAATACTGGAGCTATGACATTGGAGATGAGTACCATTCCCGATCCCTGCTACCAGCTAAAACACAAGACAGGCACCCCGTCTGGAGCTGATTCTATCCCATTGGCACATTTTTTTCAGTGCCCCTGCCCAGACTGACTACTAGAGGACCTGCAAGTGGTAAATGCACATACAGTACAGCTAAAATGGAACGCCATCACCTTTTAAAAATGTACTTAAATCACACACAAACACAGGAACCCTCTGAAAGGCTCCATGTATATGCTCCATAAATATTTGTGACATAAGCATTAGACTGACTACTGTGCTTTCAATGTTTAAATGGCTCTTGTCCTGGTTAACAAAGCTACTAAGAACGTGGGAAATCATCACTAACTCAATGGGTATCTTCCTAGCGTATATTGGATCACACTGCAACGTTTCTTCAAAGATCATTAAGGTATGATTAACTGCTTCAGGAGAGACCTTACCTGATGAGTGATGCTGCCTTGGATGTCAGAAATGATAGCAGAACCTCTCTTTGCTACTGTAATACCAGAAGCTATCTCTCCTGGCCACGGACAGATTGTCTCCAGTCCCAGTGAAGTGGGCTGTAAAACTCTTACCTTCTCCCTTTAAACACTAAGGACAATTTTCCTCCTGTTTCATCAGGCAGCAAAAGCAATCATCTCTTTAAGCAGCAGTAACTGACACCTATTTACTAGGTAATTGCTGCAGTTAAAGGGGATTAAGCACGCTGAACTCTCTTTCGGTGATAAGGCAAAGCCACCCCTGCAGCGCTTCCCAGGTGCGCCTGAGCAGAGCTGCGGGGAGGGGAGGCCAGCCAAGCCTGCCAAACCGGGGGCACACATGCCCGCTAGCCCCAAGGCTTAGCTGCAGCCAGCACCAAAACAAGATGTGTATCCCCCATGCAATCCCAGCAGTAACTGGGCCAGACCCGACATACGCTCAGCTGCCACAAGGCCAGCGGGGCAGGATGCAGAGAAGCACCCGAGCATCTCTGTCCCACCGAGACCAGCTGGGAAGGGGGCTCAGCAGGAGCAGCATGCTGCAGGCTCACCGCTGGGCACACCTGCCCTTAGGAGAGCAGCCTGAACAGCACATGGCGGGAAAGAAAAGAAAAATGCCAAAGCGGCAAAGGCCCCAGTGGAACAAAGCCCACCCAAGGCAGCATATATGAAATGCTAATAACAAGAGGCAGTATAGAAACAAAACAGGCTAAATCCAACTACCTTCCAACTTCTGTTAGGAAATCACGCTTGCCCTGCTAGACCATTTGCACTGCAGTTGTACAGGGGAGCAGTTTGATCTGTGCCTCTGTAGGAGCATCCCATCTAGGACACAAAATACGCTAGCTCAAGAACGTTAAGAGCTGCCACCCAACTTGAGTTCAGCACGTTCACATCAGGCAAACCTAAGGCAAGGCAGCTTCTCTTACACAGAGTCAGAAATATTGGTGAGGAAAACAAGAAAGGAAGTAGCCGCATTGGCTTGCCAAGAGTTCGGCTATCAGGAACAGAAGCCACGTTCCCCTATTATCCCATAGTCTGTCAGGGAAATGGCATAAAGTTCATTTTAACAGGTTCTGTTGCCCCTTTTGTTTTTCTTAATGCTAGTATTTTTTCATTTTTCCTTTTTAAACATGACTTTTCAAAATCACATGATTTACTGACACAAAAAAACCCCACTGCATATTGATTCTTATCCCAGAAGTGCCAATTCCACATTGTCCCACGGTTTAAGAGAAAAAGGTGACACTCAAAGTGTTGCACTGTTTAAATGTTATTTTATTAAATATCTTCAGTTCAAGGTTTCATTGTAACAAAGCTATGAAGGTTCTACCAACATTCAGACCAAACAAACAAACACTAGCTAACTTTAATTATTTCTATATCATGCAAAAATTCTGCATCAAATGCCTTCCATTTCCTGTTTAAAATGTGATATTTATAATATATATTATATAGATGCTTATATTAGCCCCATAAGAGAACATTAAGAATGCTAAAGGTGTACAGCTGTGTTTGATAATGGCCATACCAAGCTAAGGTTCTCATTAAATTAAAAGGAAACAAAACAAACTAAAAACCCCAAAAGAGAGTTTGTCTCCAAGACTGTGCAAAACCAAAAAACCCAACAGTTCTGTTGTTTTTAAATTTTCTCTGAAAGATGCAGATACTTAATACAGAGGGTTTTCTTTTTAATTATTAATAATCATCAGGTAAAGAGACAAGGGAGATCAGACCTAAAGAAGGCATGCATAATGTTTTGTATTGATCTTTTTTAAATGGCATAATTGTAATCTCTTGTTTGCTCTCTCTTTGTGGTTTTAAAAAAAAATCTGAATAAAATATCAAGGCTTTTTGCTTTTCCACTTCACTCACTGGCTTAGTGCTGTCTTAAAAAATATTTCAAAATAATAAAAATCTAGTGTTTGCCCCCCATGGGTTCAATCCCCACACTCCTCCCTGGGGTGGTGGGAGAGGAAGAAAAAGCTCAGACAAACCGGGGAAGTGTGGATGGTCTTTCCCTTCATCACAGGTTAAGCTGATCTGATCCTGGTGTGGGATAGGACCTCTCTAACAAAGGGAGCAGAGAGCTATCTGTTGCAAAGCGACAGCTCCAGTTTGTGCAACGGCTTTTATTTTCTGCATTCTGTTAAACAAGGATTAAAATTCCAAATTGGCTTTCTTCTCTTCCATAGTCTGTAAAAAGGTTGCCTCACACTCAGTGTGCTGTCAATGCAATCACTTTAACTCCCTTGAAAGATCCAAAAAATGATTAGGGGTAGACAGAAATTCAGGTAAAAGCCCATCCCAAATTCTGCAAGTGATGCCTTCCCTTGGTCAAGACAAATCCAATCGGGTCTGCCGGAAAGGCCATTTTCTTCCTGGGGCTAGGCTTCCTCCTTGGTAAGGTCAACAAAACACTTCCACATTCCCCACCCAATGAATAAAGGAAATAGACTCCTTCTGCAGCAAAGAAAAGAAAAGAAGATGAATTGGCCCAAAGGACAAACATCAGATCACATGTGCTAATTCCCTTTCCCCTCTGCTTCATGAGGTATCCTCTAACACCCAGAGGCAACACAGGGAGGTGGCCTGGAGTCCTTCAGGCTATGGTTTTTGAGGTTCTGATCTGATAGTTTTCTCTGTTACAACATCACTGTAAAAAATAGAAAAATTACCCAAATAAACACTAGGAAACATGACACTTATAAACATCAGATGGGTTAGTGGTGGGGCGAAGCACCTGGCTGGGGCTGCTGGCTCCCACTGCTATTTTACTCGGAGACCAAACAAATCAAACAGGAGGCCAGGTAACCCCTTTAATTCTATGGGTGCATATATTTCAGTATAAAAAACACACGCTATTTATGCCTCATATAGGAGTGTATGTGCAAGTCTTCATGAAGAACATAACACTAAGTTTTTTGTCTGCTTCCTAAGGAACACGTGTTCTGCAGCACTGTGGATCCCAACTATGCTACTAGAAAGGAAAAAAAAATAGAAAATCCCATACATGTACCCTCTTCCTCTAAAATCTCTGCTCTTAATGCAATGCTTTTTTTGTTTTGTTAAATTAAATAATCTGGCTCCAAACCTCCATGTTTGGCCAGGTAGTGCCTGTTTCTAAAACCAGTATCTCTGAAGAGCAAGCTTCTATTTAAGTTATATTCACTTAAACCCATTTTTTTAATCCCTACTTCCGCCTTTAGTTTTAAATCAACATCCCATTTTGGTTTTTTTCTTTAAAAAAAAAAAAAAGTCTGTTTTGGGATCCAGCAGCCGAGCAACCAGCTTTCCATAGCGTTCTTGCTGTGCAGAAATTGCAGAAGAAACTCAGGCTGAAGTCAGTCTGCTGGGCAAGAGGAAGAGAAGCGTCTCCTCTCGCGTGAACCCCAGTCTTCACACTGGCTCCTCTGGGGTCTCCTCGCCACCTCTCACCAGTTGAAGTCGCAGCACAGCCTGAATGCGATGTTAACTTCCACCATGGCTTTGTGGAGCACAGTTCAGCCATCCGCTGCTCAAGCCGCCTCCTTTTTTGCTCTCCCTCTCTCTTTCTCTCTCCTTCACTTTTGCTTTCCCCCCTCACTTCATTTCTGAAAGATGTTCCAGCTGCTGCCATTTTCTTAGCCCTGGGGGAGGGGGCATGTTGGATAATCTGTCATTTATTTAGCATTATTCCTGTTTTTTATTATTTTATACAAACAATATGTCTTTTTTTTTTTTTTTTTTTTAAGATTTAAAAACACCTTCGTACAGCAGAAACAGACACGATGGATCCATGGAAAACAACAGAAAGGCAGCGCCCGGAGCATCAGATGCATGCAGGGTTTCGTGCATTTGGCTGCTGCCTGTTTGTAATTTGTATTTTTTTTTTTTAACGTCAAAACAGACATGACCGTTGCTGTCACTCAGGCACTCCAGAGCTGCTTGCTAAGAAGATATTGCCCTCCAGCTGAGTATCTCCACAAGTTGCTGCAGTCAGGAAGAGGTAGTGTCCACCCAGAAAGGAGAGGGGAGAAGGGGATGGAAGATGGAAGGAAATAAAGCCAAACGTTAGCTGTACACAATTAATAAAACACGTTTTCTACAGGCTAATTATTTGGTTCAGGCAGAAACCCTCCCTAACACAACACAGACTGGGACTTGTGAGGAGAGCCCTGAAGACAAGAGGAGGCACACACTTTCCCTTCCAGGTGGCTGAGTGTGCCAGTGACAATGAACCACTCACTAAAATGAATTACTTGCTTGATTGGAGCAGACCTGGGCCCACTGTCCAACAGTGACACATCCCAGAAGCTGAAGAAGTTTCCCAAGAGGTGATCTTAAGAGACAGTACCTGTCTCACTTCCAATTGGTTTTTGCCTTGAACTGAAAGATTATTTTTTTTTTATGTCTTCAGTAATTTTGTCTCTGAATGTTCTTAATATTTAAAGAAGCGTATGAGCTTTTCTGCAGTTTTCCAAAGATGTAGCCCTAATGACTGCTTTTAGCAAAGGCTCCTCCTGGCTAATCTTCTTGTGTCAAATTAGTGGATTTATTTTGAACAGTTTTAAGTTTGGGGTTTTTTTTCATGTTTGTTTTCATGTTTGTTTCATGTTCGTGTCCTGCCATGAAAGTGTAGCCAAAATCTTCTACCATTTCTTAGTTTGCAAATCTTTGTCGCAAACTCTCTTATTAGTCTCTTCCATTCTCGGTTCCTATTCTCTCCTTACACAGAAGTCCTCTGATCAACCTCAAACTTCTTTTACAGCTGCAGTTTTCTTTTAAGATGACTTACCCAAAACTGAACTCTGCCTTCCAGGTGAGAACAAACCACTGATTTCTATTTAAGCATTCTTATTCATCTCATTCCTTCATCATCCTTACCCTTCACTGCACATAGGCCAACGCTGCTGCAAAATGATTCAATGTGTTCAGATGGGGGCTGCCCACACTGACCCCACTCGTAATTGCATGTGGTTGCACCTCCTTCAGAACCCAGAAATGCACGCAAATATTTCAGCTTCAATTTAGTTTATAGGGTTTTTTAAAATATTTTTTTTAACCAACATTTTGTGGTTTGGAAATGGCTTCTGCTCTGCAGTTTTCAGAAACCCTCCAGCACATACTTTTGGAGGAGGTGCAACATTTCAGCAGCCGAGTCAAGGAAACACACCTCTTCCGTAGCAGTTAAGACTCTCCATTCCTAAGCTTCCTCAGAACTCTTAGGTATAGCCACTGAGCCATACCGATCTTTAATTTAATAACTTCTTCCGCATCTTTTTTGGACTAAAGTCAGGAGAGAAGTCTCCCTCAGCATCTCTGTGATGAAAACTGCTGCAAATAAGTTATTTTTTGTTTCCCTCCAAAGGCTTTATCCTTCTCACTGCCTTACCCCCTGGAAATTCAGCTGATTGTCCAGCATTCTGGAAAGCTTCCCTGCTTCTGGTGCCCCCAGCTGGTTCTTGCTTTTCAAATTCCATCTGTGACCTCTGCAGTTTGCTTTCGATAGTTCACATTCCTTTCCATTGCCTTCAGTAAGGTTGAATCCCTCACAACACATAAGAAAAACTGCTCTTGGCTTAGTCCCAAGTAGTACACAAGACTAGGACTGAAGTAGTAACTATACTTGAGTGGTTCATCCTCAAATGACCACATCAGAAAAAGCTTGTCTCCCAGGTGTACATTTTTTTTCACATTTGTTCTTAAGTAGAAAATCTTTAGTAAAAAGGACCTATGATTAGGAAACTTAGATCTTTAAAATGAAGGTGACATATACTTCAGGATAAAACAAAAGGAGGCAGAAAGATTTTGTACATCTAACTAAAAGAAATCAGCAAGGCAATAAACAAGAATGGCTAAATGCTGCAGAAGTAAACGGATCTGCTGTTCTTCAGGAGCAAGCAACAATAGTTTCTTCATGTCAAATTTTATAATCAAAGTTTCCTCCAATGCTGAATTGTGTCAAGCTAACTGGGGGATATTTAAAATCCTCCAATACTATTATTTGTTTAGATTTTTTTTCCTCTGAGTTTTCTCAACATTGTACACTAAATAGCTTGTGCTAATCAGAAAATTGGTAGTAAAATTTATATGAATAAATCTTTACCTTTATGGCACAGAAATTGCTCTGTATGGATTTTACAATATCCTGTCTAGAATAGGACATTCTCATCAAAAAAAGTTCTCTGAAGTCACCAGCATGTAGAGGTAGATCCCTGACAGCTGGGAAACAGCAAACCTGTGCACAGCATGAGATACTCTTCCTCTCTGCTCCGGATTAGCACTCTGTCCGAGCACAGAGAGGAATACCTGGGAGGAAGCGCTGCTGCTACAAGGGTAGCTGTGCTCAGGAACAATTGTCTGGCACATAGCTTCAGTTTGTCAGGAGTGGCAGATAATCCTACTGAGTCCAGAGGATGGGGCTTAGAGAAAAGAATGCCGACTGATCAGCAGAAGTTTTTAGCCTACAGACAACTAAAAATGATTCTCTCACAGCCAGATAAACACCCTTGAATACTGAATTCCCACATACAGCAGCCTTAGCTGGGTGTATGATACACTCCTTCCCTGACAGTCCATACCCGTATTTGATCCTCACTGGAGAGGTGCTGCAGGAGCTCCAGAGCAGTGGTAGTGGACATTCAGCCACTTGCCATCTCGGCGGTGCCAGACGCGGGTCTCTTCAGACTGCGTGGTGCGGGGCCGGCCTTGGCCATCGATGTACTGTGTCAAGCGGATGTACGCGATGCAGGCAGCGTCTTCACCGATGACATGGACGTGGGGGTTCAGGATGGTGGTGTGTATTGGCTTGCTGTTCTTCGACAGTACTGGCAGAACATGCAAAACGATCAGCTTCATTTTACTACAAAGAAGGAACAACCCCCCACATCCTCCAGCCTCTTCTGTATGCTACTCACCTTCCACTGGATTCTGGGATACAATAAAAATTGCTCCTGCAATTTTCCAGGCACAATCCAAGCAATTCCTTCCCCTATCACCTGCTCTTCTCCTTAGGAACTGTGCACTTATTATTGCCTAGAATCCCCTGGCTCCTTTGCTCCCATTTCTTCTGCAAAGCATACTTGCCACTCTTTCAACATCAGTGCTGCTGTTTCTTCAGTTATAGGAAAAGATCTTTTAATTACAGAATACTGTTCCAAAGGAGTCAATAATCAAGAGATCTTTAAGCTAGGCCTGCTTAGAAGCATAAAAATCACTCCAGAACAGGCTTTTGAGAGACGGTCTCTGGATCCTTAGAGCACTAGGAATTGCCTATACTAAAGACCTTGACCTAACCGCCAAAATAAAACAAATTGAACACCTCAGGAGTTAAACTTCAATTATCTCATCCTGGGGAGACATCCAGGAAGGGAGGCAAATCCACTAGTATAAATCATAACATTTCTTCCAACTCTTTTTCCTGCTCCAGGCTGAGACAAGGTGACCCTTGTATCCACGTAATGGGTTCATTAGGTGTCAGAGATCTGAAACCATCCAGGAAAAACTCAAAGTGAAAGCGTGACTGATTGGTGCATGACTATCTATGTCTGACCATTCAGTATGTCTATCCCGAACATACTTGTTTTTCTATGAGAAAATGCTCATTTTTTCCATTTCCCTATC